TGGGGGGTATTTTTGTATATAAAAATGTTAGATAGTTTATAATTATTTATAACTTCAAGGGGATTAGAAATTACATAGCAGACCAACTTTTTTTTTTTTTTCTTTTGTTTCTAAGAATGTTTTTGATTCCTTAATACATTGCGTTGCTTTTGATAAAAGCATTCTTTGCTATTCATATACACCCTTGAATTTCTGTCATACTTTCCATTACTATATTACTCAGATGGTTAATTTTCTGCATCTGCTTGATTTTTATATGCCCAAAACACAACACATACCTTAGGTTTGCCCTATAACTGACAGTCATGCATTCTGTCTTACAAATAATGGTTAGTCCTTTCTTTCTTTCATCAATTACCTTGTTTAATAGTTCTGAATATGCTATCACCAATGATGTTGCTGTACAATCAACAATATCACCTGTTTCACAAGCAGTTGACCAAAAGTTTATTACTATTAGTACCATAGGTTATTGTTATACCTCACAAAATGTTTTTCCTTAATATTTAGCAAATGGAAAATCAAATTTCTATAGAGAGTCCAGTACCTTTCTAAATACCAGTCAAATAACAATAATACAAACTATAATATTTGTGAATTACAAGAATGTGACCATAAAATAAACACTGTCTAATAATTGTAGTAGAAATGTATGCAAAAATCAAAGTAACCTCATTGCTTGGAATGTGAAAACACAGTTTAAGAGGTGTCAGATTCATTGATCATAAATTGTTTTAAAAGATCATACTGAAAATAAAATGAAACCTATTTTTGCATATTTGAAACTTATAAATTATTTTTTTAATATTGGCGTTTTCATTTGATTTTTCAAAATAAAACAATTTTTGTTTTTCATATTGATTTTTATTTATCCAATAAAAACCATAAAGAACACTAAAGACTATATATAACAATAAAATTAAAAACTACATGAATAATATTTTAAATGGGATGTTTGAAAATCCAACAGTACTAATTGAGGGTTAACAAATATATTTGGTAGAATTTACTTGGTTGTGTGACTGAATTTTTTTATGTATTGAGTAAGAGGTTGAATATGTTCAAATCTATACTTTGAAGCCCTACTTTAGAATCTATTTACTATTTATCCAAGATGGCTGGTCAAACAAAAATCAGTTGCTGTAAATGTCCAGATCAAGCTTCAATGAAAAGAATGCACTTAGGAGAGATAAATTATTTATATCTCAAATATATCACCATACAGAATTGCTAAATCATCTTTATTAACAGTGATTTAAAATGCAGTAATTGTGTTTCATCAGCATTGTTGTTGTTAACATTCATTTTTCTTTCAAAAGAAAGCATTTTTTGTTTTCCTTTCATGAATCTAATTAGAAACTGACAAGACTATTAAACATGTAAATAAGTGCAAGCTACAGAAGAATTAAAAGAAATTTATTTTAATTGTGAAAATAAAATAAAAATTACAATAAATTTTATTCCAGTGAAATGTTTGTAAATCTCATTTCTGAAGCTATTCATGTTTTTCTTATGGTATATTACGTCATAAGTATAACAAATTATTTTAAATGTAAAATTTATTTATAAATTAGATTTAGTAAAAATTATTTTTACCTTATTTTTAATTAAAATATCTTTATACTTTCAGGTTAAGAGAAAAGTGACATTCTTGTGTAAAGTCAGCACATTCAAATCTTGCGACCACAACTTTTTAAATGTATCGAAAATAGTCATAAAACATCTTGCTTTTAAAACATATTTTAAATTAACTAAATTGGGTTTAAGCTTCCTGTTAAAGGCTCTTGTAAAGAGTGTCTTTTATACTTTTCTGACAGTTGCCATCCTCTTAGAGGAGAAATGCTGTGCCACAACTGGTGAGTCTTACCACACTTGGTCAAATTATGACCATAGTATTTGGCAGATAAAAAATCATGGCAGAAATTCAGTTTGCTGGTCAGTGATATATGGACTCTTCTTCATATTACTATTCTAAATTATTTCCCCAAATTATACATTCAAAATTAGAGAATCTGCTTAATAAATGACTATTTTGACTTGAAATTTAAGTTTTTTAACAATAATCACTCTTGGTTTGACTTAATGCTGAAACATCTTTCAGGTAATAATGATCAGTAGCTTGCTTTCATTCTAATTCACAAAAGTTTCTGTTTACATATCCACAGAGTGACTAGACTTTGTCATCTTCAAAATCTTATATTTTACAAGTATTTTACTTCTATTTTATTAATTACAGTTGCATTGTTGTTAATTATTCTTGTTTGACAGTTTTTGGGGGCTTTTTGATTGCTTCCATGAAAGATGCAGACAATGACCATGATGGTGACTTTGAAAAAATTTCTTAGATATTCCAACACACAAAATCAAACATTTTCAGCTGTATACTATAAATTTCAATTTTTTTTTCATTTTTGAGAGAACTGTTAGTCTTGTTTTCATTAATCAACTTTTGATTTCATTTTATTTATTTTATTTTTTCAGCAGAATCAATTTCCTCTTGATTGATTGAGTGAAACATCTTTCAGTCTCATATTGGTTTCTGAGACTGTTATTTTCTTAGCAATCTTGCATCAGTTCTCAAAAATATGAGTGGGATTTTTAGGTCATCAGTTTTTATTTTAGCTTGTTCAACAGATGTAACTTGGTATTTAGCAGAGTTGTTATTTACTAAGCTTAGCTTGGAAGTAAGGCCACAAGTATGAGTTACCTAGTGAGAATCAAATTCACTACTCAGTAATAATGATCAATCAGACTAGGCTTGATGGCCATTGCCCAATACCAAGGAGCCCCAGCATCTGCTTGATTTGATTGGTAGATTTCTCTTTGAAAGAATTTGGCATGGACTGGTAATGTATCATAAATGCTACTAAATTAATTTGTAATAAACTGACAGACACTTCAGGAGGATTTTATTTGAATGTTAGCTGTTGATAAATTTTGGTTATTTAGAGAAAAGGAGGGGTTACCTGCCCTTGAAGCAGTTGGATCTTGGAAAAAAGATGAGCAAGATGTAATGAATGAATTTCAACTATGGACTTGGACATTAGCTACTGAGTTACAGAATATCATTCTTTTTTTTCACATCAGTTTTGTTGACAATAATGATTGATTCATAAATAATGCATGCCTCTTTTACTAATTTCTCTTTAGCTGCAATTCTCTCTCAGATTCTCAATGATCAGATTTCTTCAATTCTTCTTTTGCAGGGTTCATTTTGTAAAAAAAAAAAAAAAGAAAAATTACTATTGAATGTCGGCATCACTCCAATTGCTCTGGTTTCCCATTACACTCAACATGTTTAATACAGTTAAGCCTTAAGTCACCATTTTATCCTTTTGAAATTGAATCATGGGGTTTCCAAAGAGTCCAACTGCACATTTTTCTTAAATTTAGATTAATGCTTCAGCATTCCACCCGCCCTGTAAATATTGGTTCTCAATGTTCAACCTACCGTAACATGCTTCATGTATAGTCTGCCATGACATGATGACATCATTGCAAATAAGTGAAACTTTGACCACAAACAGTGAGTTTTGAGAGCCAATATTTATGGGGGTGGGTTTGAGCATGTTGAATGCTAAAGAGTTAATAGTAACAAGGCACCAGCTTGATAAATATGAAGATACAAATTTCTCATCAGAAAGATAGTACATAAATAATATCCAAGCGAGACCAAGTTGTAGAATGGTCTAACTATAGGCATTGGGTACTTCTATTAAAGATACTACAGCCACCACTAAATTAAGGTTGAAAAAAATACTGCTGCCAGAAAGTCCCTTGAAATCAAGAAAGTAAGTAAATTTACTTTATGAAAGGACAAAATAATCTTCAGAACTTTATTTTTTACAATGATATTCACCCTGTACAAGGCCCAAGAGCTACTCAATGTAGAGGGCTGCAGGATAAGAGGTAGAATTTATTGGGATATGTAGGGAAGATAACAATTAATCCTTGACTTGAACAGGCTAAGATTGAGGAAGCATACTCTTGTGAGTTGGTTCCACAAAGGAGCAGTTCATGGAAAGAAGCTGCTTCAGTGGAACTTAAATCTCACCAATGGAATACAAAGGGAATGAGGATGGTTCACTATGGTGTAGTTGGTATGGTGGGTCTTAGTCATGAAGGTTAGAACTGGTGGGACTAAAGAATGTAGTCCATCTGAACACTTTCCATAGAAATAGTGATAGAGCAGCAAGAAGTTTGCATCATTTCATATGAAGGAAAGGAGTTGTAAAGTGGAAAATAATTCATCACCCATAAGGATGCAGATATGCTTTTGGACTTTATCAAGACTTAAAAGTGAAGACTGGGTATATATGCCAGTAGTACTCCACTTTCAACCTAATCTGGATCTTGTAAATGTAGAGGATTGCAGGAGGAGTCAGGTACAGGTAATCAACCATTTTTCCAGTATCTTTCGTGATGGATTATATGTATGTTCCACTTGAGAGCTGGATTGAGCTTAAGTCCCAATAGGTGCTCAAGGCACAGGGACTCTCTGAGAAAACATCCATTCATCTCAATAGATGAAAATTCAAGGTCTGCTCGTTGATGATGGAATGTAACCAGTTTAGTTTTTGAGACACTGAATGAGGCCAGATAGTTTTTCCCTCACACTGAATTGTTAAAACTAGGTCAGAGGAGGGATACTTTATAAAAAGATGAAATAATGTTCAGAACTGGCAAAACAGAGTATCCAGTTTGCTTATGATTTGATTTCAAGCAAAATATCCCTTTCCTCATTTGGCCAACTGGGGAGATAGATTATTCAAGATAATTTTGGTTGTTTGTCTTTTGTATTCATTTTGCCAAATCTGGTAAAGGTAAAATATACACCTGGTCAGTGACACATGGTGTTAATGAAGTACTGAGTTGTATGTGTCATATGTTTGTTCCAGGTGTTTTCCCAGGTGACTGGAATAGATAAAACCATAGTCATTCAATGGTGTAGTTGTTTCAGTCATCAACAATCATTTAAATTAAATGATTCAGACTACCAGTGAGGGGGGCTATCTATCTATCTATCTATCTATCAATCAATCACATGACACAGAGTTTGGTTAGACAGAGGTATACTGTCTGGAGTGAGATGAAAGCTGAGAGATTTCAAATGAAGTCAATGACTGGAATGGATATACCTGATTTTTAAGGGGCATTTCAAAGATATCTTAAATAAATCCATGATAGGGAGGAATTTGCAATCACAAAATACAAACTGTACACTTTGAGCAAGTTATGTTCAAAATTAGTGTTAGAACTAGTAATTTTAACCTGGTTAAAAGCCAGGTAATCCAGATACCCCCCCCCAAATCAGGATCAGCTTCTTTACTAGGGGTTTACTTCCAGTAAAGACAGCCAAATTAAGGTGTGTGCAGAATCTGATGAAATATTTCTACTTTGAGGCCTAGATATTTATTAACAACTTACTAGCAGATGGGGGAGGAAAAGAATCGGATTTTGGAGATGTGTTATCAAGTTTACTCTTTCCAGTCTGTAAGCCAATATTCCAATCTCTGTAATTCTGTTTCATGTATGATAAGATTCATACTCTCTGTTCTTGTACTTTATAAGACAAACACCTGGCTTTTGATATTCAATAAAAGTTCACCTTTCTTCAAAATTATACAGTTTTTTTTTTTTTTATTTTATCTTCATTAAGTTTTATAATTGTAAAATTGCTCCAATGACTGAGATGACATTTGCCATTTCAGTTAATAAAATGTCCATAAAATCCTTTTTTTAAAAAAAGTATAAAGTAGAATTATAGGTATTGTCTATTTGAGAAAATAAATGATTTTGTCATTCAGGAAAAAAAAAAATTGCTTGGAGGTGAGCTGTGTGGAAACTCAAATCATCAATTCTATTGCTGTTTCCATTGTACCCATTTTCATGGCTTGCACCTGAAAAATTGAGAAAGTCATTAATAACTGTTACTTTCATAATTGTTTATTTCCCAGCTGAGTAAAAAGTTGGGCTATATATATATATATATATTTTCTTTAAATTAATTTTTCTACAAAAATATATTTGTTTTTGATAGACTTTTCTTTGGGAACCTGTTCAATTTTGAGAAAATGCTAGCAGAAATGATCAAAGTTGCTTTAATTTACAATATATGTATAATGGCAAACTACACACTGACTTTGTGCCCACTACAAATGTTTCATTTCCAAGGGTTTGAGTCATTTATTCATTTTCTACAGCTTAACCCTTTTCAGGTTATTTAATGCCAGAAAATATTTTTAGATTATAAGATTTAAAAAAATCTTTTTTGTAAGGGGGAAGATAATAATGGTTTAGTGATAAAAGTCTTACTAATTAACCCATAGCATGAGGAGAATAAATGGATTCATACATTTCCCAAGAGTATTTGTGTGTAAATGAATATAGTGAATCCAACAGAAATTAGAACTTGGCTGTATGATTAATAGTACCAAGCCATTATCCAATCTGCACATCCAAGCTTACAGCACTTAATATTATCAAGCAGTCACCCATCTAGGTACTGACCAGGCTCAACATTGCTTAACTTTGGTGATTGTATGGAAACCAGTGTTTTAACATGATGTTGCCATAAGCTCTACATGGGTGTCATTTGTGAAAATAAGAATGTCATCATAGTTGTTTTTTGTTTTGTTTTTTTCAATGTATCCTGATTTTTATTGAAGGAAAATACCTGCATGAGGGGGGACCCAAAAGTAACTGGAATTTTGTCATATAATTTTATTCATTTATTGTTGCATGTTTATATTTTTATCACCTTCAAAATATTCTCCATTTGAAGCAATGCACCACTCCAGACGTGTTTTCCGCTGTTCAAAGCAGTCCTGGAACGCTTTTGAAGTTATGTTTTTTAATGACTTCGTTGTTTTCTTCTTAACCTCTTCCACATCTGCAAAACGTTTTCCTTTGAGGACTTTCTTCATTTGGGGGAACAAAAAAAGTTGCAGGGGTCGAGATAGGGTGAATAGGGAGGGTGGGGAAGTGGGGTTATGCCATTCTTGGTCAGAAACTGTCTCACTCAAGGCAGTGTGCGCTGGCGCATTGTCATGATGCAACCACCACCCTCCACTTTGCCACAGGTCAGGGCGTTTTCATCTCACCTTGTCTCACAAACACTTCAGGACTTCCAAGTAAAAAGCCTACTTAACAGTTTGATCAGGAAGAACAAATTCTTTGTGGAGAATTCCTTTCACATCAAAGAAACAAATCAGCATCATCTTGACATTGGACTTCACTTGACGCACTTTTTAGGTCATGGTGATGTTGGATGCTTCCACTGCTGCTTTGTTTCTGGGTCGTAGCCATAGCACCAGCTTTCATCACCAGTGATGACCTTCGAAAAAAGGTCAGGATCAACTTCCAACTGTTCTTTCAGTTTACGACAGGCATCCATTTGTCACTGATTTTGATTGTCCATGAGCAAGCGAGGCACCATTTTTGCTGCAACTCTTTTCATTCTAAATTTGTCAGTCAAAATTCATTGACATGAACTCCAGGACACACCAGTCAAACTAAAAAGTTCATCAGTTGTTTGGTGACAGTCTTCCAAGATCATTTCATGAATTTTCATAATGCTTTCAACTCTTCGGGAGGTTGAAGGTCACGCTGAATGAGGCTGGTCTTCCAGCAACAATTGACCATTCCTAAAGCATGCAAACCACTCATAAACTTATTTTACTCATGGCACCATCCTTGTAAGCTGTTTTAAGCATGACAACTCTTTCAGCTGCTGTTTTCCCCAGCAAAAATCAGATTTTCACAGCAGCATGCTGCTCCTTCCTTTCAGCCATGGTAAAAATAGACGAAGAGGCATGAAGCACTTCAAAACAAATGTGAACCACAGAGCTGTACATTTCCCACAATGACACCAGTTAGCACACTGATGCCTGAGGGTTGCCTCAAGTGACATCTGGCGGTGGAAGCCTGAACAACTACAGGCTTGTCATGCAGAAAATGATTCTGGTTACTTTTGTGTCCCCCCTTGTATTTTGTGGGAAAAGATTTCTTATAACAGTAAAAAGTAATTTGGTAAACTGAATTTTTACATTGCAAATTTGATTAGTTTCCTTTCTTACCATCATGGAACAACTTCTTTGATACAATCAAACTGTTTTATAAAAATGACCAAAATGTTCCCTTTACTATTAAGAGTATTCAGTGGTTCATGATAATGTACTGTATCATAACTAGTGAGTAAATTATTAATTTTCTAATATTTTCTTATCAGTGAGCAAACAAAAACTCAAATTAAACACAGTCATGGTGCTGTTTAACAAAACATCCCCTTGTAAATTGAACATGATAAAATAATGTTGGATACAAAGCAGGACCCAGTTTAGTATTATACAGAGATTGTAAATGGAATTCTTATTTTAGAATCACTTTGCTTGTTTTTACATTTAAACTTAAATGTCCTTTAAATTTAACAGGTTCCTGAAAAAATAAAGATCATTTTCATCAAGAGCAGAACAAGCTAAACTGGAAAAATATTTTCTTAGAAAAATATTAATTTTAGTTGAGAAAAATCTTTATTGAAACCTCCTTGCAGTATTTATTTAAAGTTGAAGTATTCCAATATGTTTCTTCATAGAAGTTAAATTTTCATGAATATAAATTAAGAAATTATTTTACTACATGTCTTTGATCAATGTTATGAATTTAGAAAAAAAAAAAATCATGTCCTTGACAATATTCAGATGTACAATAGCAGGTTTGTGGTGATGAGCTTTGGACACGGCGAAGTTGCAATCTATAGTGGAAACCCAAACTTCTGGGTCAAATAACTGACTACCAGGAAGAAAGGCAGTTTCAACATGCACATCTTCAATAAGACTTGCCTGGTTTATCAGCTCAAAACTGCTATAGATGTACTTGCCAAAGGAATCAAACATGAAAAACAAGCAGCCACAAGTAGAATCGGCTTAAAAGTACAGTGCTGAATTTGTAACAGAAAATGCTGTCCTAACAAACAATGCACCAACACAACCTGGTAACATTGTCCTCAGATTTTGTAATCAGTGAGTTATATGCAACTTCTGGTTCACTCCTTGCATTCCTATTTGGTATCAATAGCCACTACATCTATCTGGTGGCTAAGACAGCTACTAAAAAGGCTGAACAGAAAGTCGGCTGTAGTACTATGACTGTCACATCAAGGTGAGAAAAAGCAATAATGATATAACAACTCCTTCAATTTCTAGGTGACATCTAACTGCAAAATTGAGATTGACCAACTACATTGAATCTATTGCCAGAAAAAGACTTTGCATGCAAACAAAGATGTGAATTTCTATGACAACTTCATGACTCCTGATGACAATGCTCACAACAGTACACTGATGACCTGCTGTAGATGCATGAGAAACAGGGTTATGCTATGGCCCATATGCAGCACATGGGAAAGCCTGGCTTCTTCATCACATTGACTATGAACCCCAAATGGATTGATGTACAGCAAAAAAATATAAGAGCATTAGAATTGCTTAGACATTGTTGAACAAGTCTTTTGTCAAAAGTACAGGGCGTTCCAAAAGTCACATTACCATTGATAACCTTTCAAATTTTATATTTAATTTACCAAATGGAATCATGTTTCAGTATGGGACATTATATTAATAAGAAATGTTAATGGTCAAATTATGGAAGATGATATTATGCAAAATTTTATTGGTTGTTATTTTACAAGTGTTTTCTGCCAATTGTCGCATGACTTTTGGAACACCCTGTACAATAAGTTTGTGACACTATCAAAGATTGAAGCTTCTTAGGAGAAAGTAAGTTCTCTGTACATCATCCAGTACCAGAAACATGGCCTTATTCATAAACCTCCTGTCAATTGTTTCAGAAAGTTATCAATGTTAATATTTTGACAAAGAACTGTACAAGATGGTCTTGGCACACATGGTCCATGTGGATATCTAAATCACAACAGCCTTTGTATGAAAGACTTTAAAGTGTTCAAAGGATTTCTTGTAAAGCAAGGAACTGACAACTATCTCCTGGTGATTCCCTACCAGCTCAACCTCCATATTAATGCTCTGGCATTATTAACATCAAATACATAACCAAGTATGTCATTAAGGGAGCTGATCAGGCAGTATTTGAACAAAGGAGGCTGATGAAATCAGCATAGGGCTAGCTATCCACATTGACAATGGACAGTGGGTTTACTGCAACACAGAAACCAATGCCAGCCATGATGCACACTGTCTTTTTTAATCCTTGCAACCATGACAACTTTTTAAAGATACTCAAATACCACAAAGTGACCATAGTATTACATAGAGAACAAATCAAGCAAGAAGTGACCCACCAAAAGGGTTTATTGAAGATCTACATGATTTGGAAGACACCAGTAATTGGCTATATCTATAGTATCAGTCTGAGAGATGATTATTGTGTTCAACAACTCTTGAATGAAGCCTGCAGCCCAACCTTGTTCACTGTTCTATGGATCATGAATAGTAAAGAATTGTCTTTCTGCAAAACCTGTTTAGTAACAGGATTCCTGAAAAGTAACCAGTACTTCCATCTTATTAAGGAGGTAGCTATCGGTGCCCAGCTTCAATCATTTCCTCGTAGTTATCTTCACCTTTATAACCCATGCACAATCTGGGAGCACTTTGTGACTCTCTTTCTTAAGACTACTTATTCCAACATCATCACAATATCAGCAATTATCATGCTAACTGCAACAAGGAAGTATACAAACTTGTTTTATGTGATCATGATGGATGGAGATGATCTTATAACTTACCTATACCAGAAAGGTGCACAGATGACAGGCTCTTGACAGAGTACTTCAGGGAGATAGACTGTGACAAAGAATACTTAGCTGTCCAAGACGATGACTTCCTGATTGATGACCAATGTGAGGCTTAAAATGCACTCCATGAACTGATAGAGCAAAACAGCATCAACAATAACAATGAGTGACAATTCCAACACTTGGGCTTCTCGGACTCAGCCTGAGTAACGTAACTTTCAAGTCTATTTCAAGTCAATAAACAATGTCTCAGCAGAACAAAATGTTCATTTGTTCCTGATGTGTAATAATTTATGACACAGGCTGAGAAATTTCAGTCTGAACTATTAGCAATAAAAACATCCCAAGTAGTTTTCATTATTTTTCAAGGAATATAACCTTAAATGTTGGCTTTTTGCAAAAATTGTCTTAAGTTAAATGTAAGGCAGCTGGTTTATAAAATGGGTCAGATAAGTTGTCAAACATGCAAGCCCCAGGACGGTCTTTATTTTTTTTAAATTCTTCAAATTTGCTTGTTGAGCATTCTTGGTGCATATATGCACAGACAGATTACTTTAAGTGTAGTTAGATTAGATTGTAATTATATACTTAAATTCCTCTACTGAATATGGTACCCTGAATTGTATATATAGTAAATTTTATTTAAAAATTGTACTCAACTTGAGTAATACTGATGAGCTAAAATATTATCATCTTAGAGACATGGGTAAAATCTTCATCATTAACACAATACTGAAAAAGACTCACACAAGAGAAATAGTTCTTGTGACTACATCCAGAGTAATTATTGCAAC